TTTTTTTTTTGTTAAAATTAGGTGAACCAGTCACTGTTTGACACGTACGAGTTTCTTAAGAATCCTTAAATTTCTCTGTTAAGAAAACAACAAATACATTTATCATTTATTTTAATTTTTGTAACCTAAGAGCATGTCCAACGTTGATACTTATAGAGTATCATAAGCTTAGAGAGAATTAAAAATAAATCAAAAATGAATTATTTGGTCTGAACTGTCTCATTGCTAGAGATTTCTAAGACGGTTCTTCGTGCCAGAACCGCTTTTTTCGGTCGAGAGGGCAAAATGAAAAAAAAAAAATCAATTTCTCTTATCTCTCTTCTCTTCGAGAGACGAAAATGGCGATTTTAATTCCTCTCTCTTGATCGTCGTCGGAATGGATTGTCGCCGGCGTCATTGTCGGAGACGAAGGTTATGCATGTTGGCTCTTGAGGTATATTCGCAGATCTTCGTGATTTGAGCTGATGTTGTTTTGATTTTATAATCGTCTCTTTGTTCTGATTTTTTCCTTTCTGTTTTGCGATTAATCGGATTGGTTTTGGGTTTTTCTTTGAGTATTTGTATGATATTGGATTCGTGTTTCTGAGATCTGATGGAGTCGGGTTTGACGTATTTGAATTGTCTTCGTTTTGGGGTTTTTGTTTTGTTATGCCTTCGTATTGAATTTTGAAAATTTTCTGTGTTCTTTTAGCTCAGAGATATATTGGGACAACGATTATTAGGATTTTGTGATAGTCCTTGTAGTATATTGGAACTGAATTTCATTTTGGTTTGGATTCGACCTCTGGTTATTGGATTGTTTTTTGTTTTGTTTTGTTTCGTGTGTGTTTTGAGTGTATATGTTGTACTTTTGAGATTGATATTTGTTTTTTCCTGCTGCTGTTTTCATGTTCAGGTTATATTAAGCTTCGGATTTAGTGGATTTTCTTCTTTTGAGATATGGAACAATATTACATCTGCTCAGGCAGTTGCCAGTATCGGGTTTTCTCATTGCAAGAAGCACTCGATTGGCGGTCTCTTGTGCAGTTTTGGACATTAATGCAGTAGGAACATTCACAATGTGCAGTGAAGCGCTCAAGTATCTTAAGAAAGGAGGGCCTGGGAGAGAAGACACATTGAGCGGTGGTTCGTTTCTCAACATAAGTGCTACTTTGCATTACACTGCTTCTTGGTACCAAATTCATGTCTCTGCAGCCAAGGTAAACTAAAATTAGTCTTGCTAAAGTCCATGATTTTGTTAGGGAAATCAAGAGCTAAGTGTAATGCTATTGTAGCAATAGGAACAATCGAATGTAGCGATATGATCTTAGGTTTTGGAAAACTTGAAAACAGGCTGCGGTTGATGCTACGACAAGAAACTTGGCGTTGGAGTGGGGAACTGACTACGAGATTAGAGTGAACNGGATTGCACCAGGCCCGATCAAAGGTACACCTGGAATGAGTAAACTTGGACCAGAGGAGATTAAAAGCAAAGCTCGAGATTACATGCCTCTCTATAAACTTGGAGAGAAGTGGGATATCGCCATGGCTGCAATCTNCTTAAGNTGCGATTCCGGTATGCGACTGCCATTTGCCTAAAGAAGCGGTGAAGCAACTCTCTCGTGTTGTGGAGAAGAGGTCCAGATTTGGTTACTAATAGACNCATTATAGAGAATGCAATCAATGCTACTAAAGATCTACATTGTGAATTTGCTGTGAAATGTTCATTGGTTCATCACTCTATTGTGGGTTCAAACTTGTTTACTGTGATAGAATGAGGAAATGGATTAATTTACCAAAATTCCAAGTTTATGGGTATCTATCACTGTTCTTTGGAATATACGTTTATGTTTCAATTTATTTTAACGGATTGTAATATACGTTTAAAATTTTATGAAACATAATAAATTCAAGTTTTTATAAAATC